GTGAGTGGCAGTGAACCACACTCCTCTTGGGTGGTGAGAAAAGAGTCCCCCCTTTCGAGCTTGAGGCTTGAGGGGAGGAGGACTTCTCTGGTGTCTAGGTCTCATCAGGTATGAGGGTTTGGTATGGTATGAAGGTCCGGTACAGGGTTGCCAGGATGCCCTGGTGTAAGAGAGCAAAGGCACTCCCTATCCCACTCAAGGGATAGGTTACACCAAGACACTATTTGCCATGGCCCTCACACAACTATGGTGCCTGGCAGGGTATGCGCACTTTGGGAGGATCAACGTCGACATGCTCAGACGCTGCACTCTGCTCAGCCGCCGCAGACGATCGGGCGCCGCCACCGCCGCTGTCGCCGTTTCGACGCTAACGCACTTTTTCACACGGCTCCTTGAAAACCGAAAGCACACTAACTTTCAAAATACCACAGATCATGTTTTCTAGGAAAAAAATAAAAAAATAAATAATAATAGAAAATGGTAGCATTTTGTTACTTCAATGGGGTCGAAGTGTGGCAAGAAAAAAATGGAAAAAAAAAGACTAAGTAAAAAGACAAAATCCCATCAACACTTCGTTACCCCCAATAGGTCAAAATGTGCTGGAAAAATGAACTAAGCAGGACGAGAACATCTAAACAGCACTTTGTTACCCCCAAGGGGTCAAAATGTGCCGACAACAAAAATGGCTAAGTCCTAAAAAGATTTGAGGGTGTCTCAGACAAATTTGAATTTTCATAATTAAAAAAAAAAATCAAGAAAATGAAGAAAAAGGAGGTAATAAGGTAATTCAATTTTTGGAAAGAAAAATAAAAAAAAAATAAAATAGGAACACAAAATAAGAAAAAGAGAAAATTTTGAAGTTGGTCGAGGGAGGGATGAGAAAGTGATGAGAGAAGAGAGAGAGAGAGAGAGAGGTGAGAAATAGAGAAATTTTGAGGTGGTAGTTGAGGGGGTGATGGGGTTGTAGTAGGAGAAAGAGAAGGGGAGAGGAGGATGAGAGAATGAGAGAGGGTGACTGAGGAGAAAAGGAGAGAAATAAAGATGATAAAAGATGAGTAAATAGTGAGGGATTAGTGATGGGAGCAGAAAAAGACGATGAGGTGACTTAGGGGAGAGTGGGAAAAGGGTGAGAGGAAGTTGATTAGTGAGTAGAGGGTTGATACCCACCAAAATCCCATGAATCTTGACCTTCAAACATCCCTTGGGGGAAGGGGCCTTCAAGATGGTAATAAACTGCTGCTGCAGCAGTTAGATCTGATCATCTAGATCAGATCTGCAGGTAAAGATATCTGGGGTAGTAGGCTGAGATCTTGATCAGCCACCCAGACGTCACTGTAGCGCAGCCCCCTAGCCAAGGGGGGCGTCAAGCTGATACCAAAATGTTGCTGCAATGGTTAACAAAAACAAAAAAAACTCGGGTTGGCTGGGATTTTGATCAGCCACCCAGATTCCAGAGCAGCGCAGCCCCCGTGCCAGGGGGGGTCTTCAAGTCCCAGAGCTAGCTGCCACGTGGTACTCCAGCTTGCCATGTGTGCTGTGATACGCAACCTCACGCCCCCTCGCAGCTTCCCGTACGGGGTCGCCGATCAGAGTTCTAGGAGGGGCGTGGCCGATGATTTTTGGCCGTAAGGGTTGAGTCTCCCTGACGGAACGGGAGGCCCTCGTTTCGTGCCAGGGGTTTTCCCCGGAGTCGAACTGTCGTCGCGGAGTCCCGTGGGGGTCGGATCACTCCGAAACGATAAACTCGAAAAAAAAAAGGTTTCCGCAAAAATGAATTGCCGTCATGCATCAGGACGGAAAAAGGCATCAAGGGGAGAGGGCCATGGCGGCGGAGGAACAAAACTTCGGCCGTCAGGGGTTTGGGGGATAGGTGGCGGGTTCGAAGCCTTCAGGCCTCATCATTGGCCTCACAAAGTGGCCGAACCCTCGGGTCTTTGCTGCGGAGGTGGGTGGTTCGAGGCCTTCAAGCCTCGGCGTCGGACTCACAGAGTCCACGCAAAAGTTTCCGGAAGGGTAAAGCGGCGGGAGGACTCACCGGCATCTGAATTCGAAATTGCGCAGGCAGCGCCCCTGCACTACGGGAAAGCTCGGGGAAACGTGTCGCTCCCTCGTAACCCAGGACCAGCCGTCGTCAAGAACATGAGTCCCCCTGGCGACACCAGTGACAATCAAACTGCTGCTGCCACGCGGCGTGAGCGGCCGACCAGGGCAACACCGTCAAACACGTATAAGGCAATATTAAAGTCGGGGAATCAAAACGATCAATCAAAACAAACCCGTTCCCCCTTATCTCACAAGCTCGAGGCGGGTCCTGCCAACACACTTGCTCCGTCCGCCTCAGCGCGCGCCGTACGTCCGCATCGCAATAGACGCTGTCGTCATCAGCGATGGGGAAGGTCGGTAGTGAGATGAGACGATCGGAGGTACGTGATGAACATGGGTAAGGTCCTGCGTTCCCGGTCATCCGAACCAACACCGAATCCATACAACATTCGTCGCAACTCCTCTCTCTTTAAGGTGGGTGCGTCGAGGGAAGACGACAAAGTCTAAGCTCTCTCCCCTCGCGGGGGGGTCGACCGTCCGCGCGGACGCAAGCGGTTGACGTCACCGGTACGGGGGCGAGAAGCTCCAAAAGCGAAGACTATCAATTCAAAAAGGAAAGCATTAGAGAGAGAGAGAGAGAGAGAGAGAGAGAGAGAGAGAGAGAGAGAGAGAG